CTCCCAGTACCCGATGTCTAAATCCCAAGTCCATCTACGACCCTGCAATCGGACATCTTTCGCGAAACTCCTGAACCTCAAATCTTGAGGCATGATTCGTTCTATTTCTACACCGAAACAAAACCGAATTCCCCAAAGAAGCGAAGCTCCCGGAAACAAGACCCCGTAAACCCTAAACTCCTAGACCCTAGACTCTCAAACCCCTAAACCCTAACCTAAACCCTAAACTCTACAACCCGAAAGCCCCGAAACCCTAAGCTCCTTCAAGCCTTCTGTCGCAGAGGCGCTCGAAGGGCGGCCGGCAGTGTGTCGGCTTCGGGGTTGCGGTTACACGGGTTTAGGTTTTCGGGTTTTGGGTTTAGGGTTTAGGGTTTAGGGTCTAGGGTTTGGGGTTTAGGGTTTAGGGTTTGGGGTTTAGGGTTTAGGGTTTGGGGTTTAGGGAGTTACATTTGGCAGGGCTGCTCACGATTAGGGGGTTTTGGGGTTTTGGGTTTAGGGTTTAGGGGTTTACGGTTTAGGGGTTTAGGGGTTTAGGGGTTTGGGGTTCGGGGTATCTCTAAGCTGATTTTTTCTCAGTTTTGGGCTCTTCTCCTTGGATGTTCGGTTCCACAAATGTCGTGCTAGTTTACGGCAGACCACAACGACTCACGCCTCGGTTCCAACGGTTGATGATATAACTCCTGTATTACCCATAATAAGGAATATACCATAATTCTCATAGTTTAGGGTCCTTGAGGTAATGCAGGGTTTATATCATCAACAGTAGGTGAGAGGTTCAGTCGTCTTGGGCTCTGACTTCCGGCTTAGACGGCTCTGGTTTGGGCTCTAGGGGTTTTGGCTTTACCTACCAAAACCTACTTTTTTTGTAGGGTCACTATAGATTCCATATTAGGTAGTAATAATAAGAGCCTACACAAAAGTAGGTTTTGGTAGGTTGAGGTAGGGTTTAGGGTTCCGCATTCACTAAGCTTCGGGGGCTTATTAAAATCACAGCCACGCACAGCGCAAACTATTGCAGATCCTTGAACTTTAGGGTTTAGGGTTTATAGGGCTTCCTTCAAAAAATGTGTTTCGACCCTTTGCGCAGACCGCTTTGCTGAAGGCCTCTTTGGTATAGCCCCCAGGGCACGGAAGATACCCAATAGCCTATACCTCAGCGCTGGCCCGAGACTCTGAGCCGTAAATCCCTAAGCCTCGAAGCAGGAAAGCACGGAGTTTCCTCTTTATGACTAGGGCTTATTATACAGGGTTTATAGGGTTGAGGAGTTGCTTATACAGGGCTTAGGGTTTAGAAGTCGAACCTAGTCGTAGAGTAGGTGACCTTCAACCGAGTAGTAGAGTAGGTGACCTTCAACCTTTTTGGGTGCTGTAATCCCTATATCTTCCCAATATACTCCCAAAGGTTAACCTTTCGTTCCCCAGGGGTACTGGACAAGTAGGTTATGGTTTAGTTATGTTTAGTTGTGAGGCTTCGGGTTTATAACTTCAGGGTTATGATTTGTGGCTTGGAGCGTATGAGTTAGGGAGTCGGGTTTAAGGTCTGCCTTAACCTACCAAAACCTACTTTTTTTACAGGTGCTTATATTATAAACCCTAATATGAAATTTATAGGGACCATACAACATGTTGGGTTTTGGCAGGTCTATGATCTGGGCTTCAGGCTTTTCGTTTATAACGAGAGGTTTTTAAGGCTTAAGGGTGCAGGAAGGCCTCAACTGACAAGACCCTTCCATTTCTTGAGGCGCCTGTTTTTATAACTGATGAGACCCTTGCACCCTAAACCCAAAACCCCAAACCCTTACACCCTAAACCCCAAGCCCCAAAGCCCTAAACCCTAAACCCGAAACCCTTGGGCCCCTGTTCCTAACTGATACCCAGAGACTCCCATAGCCCTCAATTAAGGAATATGCCTTAAATGATACTAGGGATCCTCCTATAATTGAAGGTATACTCCTTAAAAGAGGGGTAAAATGGGTTCTAAACCCTAAACCCTAGACCCTAAACCCCTAAACCCTAAAATTCGGTTCTCTGAATCCCAAAAACCTTAATTAAGGGATATTGGAATCTCTGGGTAAGACCCTTCGAGCACCTTGTCTTGGAACCTTTGGGCTCCGAGGCGCATGGCCTTCGTGGCCACGGCCAAGAGCTACCTTGAGACCGTGTCCTTCTGACCCGGGTTCTGGGGGTTTAGGGCTTTATTTTTGGGGTTTAGGGTTTAGGGTTTTAGGGTTTAGGGTTCTGGGGTTTACGGTTTAGGGGTCTTAGTAGCTGAAAGTGTACATTATAAACTTTTTGGGATTCCCTGTACATTACCCTTAAGGATTGAAGCTAGGGGGTTTCCAACTTTTGGGCTTCTACTACTTAGTAGCTGAAAGTGTACAATTTAAACTTTTTGGGATGATAAGATCCCTTGTAGAGCTGAAAGTGTACAACTTTTTTGTGCGTATGAACTCAGCAACTAAGCTTCTGACCCGGCAACGACTTGCGAAGCTAGACACGTGGGCTCATGTATGTACGTATATACGATTATATACCCTTAGGCTCCGTTGTGGTTTCTTTTTGGGGTTGACTCATAGGATCCTGAATATAAGCCACACAAAGGAACTACAATGGAGCCTATAGGTAATTAGAGTATATACATATGTATGTATGCATGAATGGTTGGGGGAGTGTGTGTATGTGAGCAGTAACCACATTATAGCAGCCCATAGCAGAGCCACGTGGGCTTGTACGCCGAGTTGAGCCAATCTGATGTTCTCTATAACTATGCCGTCCACGCTAGTACATGTAGCTCCCTCTAAGATCAGAAGAATCGCATGCAACACAAGTCTCAGTTCCAGCGGGAATTACACTGCAATTATGTTTGGGGGGGGTTACACCCAGGGCATACATGAATGTCGCTCATGACACATAGCAACTATGAACGGGCTACTTCCAATAATATAGCGGCCTAGAAAATTACCAACCCTACTTCGGGGGTTCCTTCTCATAATTACAGTACAGCCTACCCCAAAACCCTATTCTAACTATTAAGGCCCCTACATTAAGACCTTTTAGGGTTGGCACCGCGCCATCGCACCGTGCCGGTCGCAAAGACCACTGGCCGTCTGAATACATTGTTGTCCTTCTGAGAGGGTCCGTTATGAATAAGTAGGGCAACTATATAGTTATAGCCTATATTCGGGGACTTATAACTCCTCCAGTGATAACTACCCATGAACCCCAAGTATGCAAGATACCTTCTTCACAGGCCTGCCTAGGGAGGCTGGGGTGCAGAGGGCCCTGTCCAATTCCTCGACGGACAACTCCGCAGGATGAACTGCCATTGAGCCAAATGGTTCAATGGACCCATTGGTGGAAAGTGTCTCGACCCTAAACCCTAAACGCCCTAAACTTTCCCTACACCCTAAATCCTAAACTACACCCTAAAGCGACCCAAGCATCGAAGACCCCATCGCTCCGAACCGAAACGTCTCAAGCAACTGTTGAACCCCCAAACCTTTGTACCCCTACTTGGAGGTTCATGGGTAGTTATATAAGTAGGGCTATAAGTAGGGTAACTATAGTTACGGCCTATGTTAGAGGACATATAACTCCGCTGATAACTGCCCATGAACCTCCCAGTAATCTGTACGAATGGATTGAGATGCTGGAAGAGAACCTGTTGCGTTGAGCTGTTATTGCCGCGCTTTCTCAAAAAAGAGAGGACCGGAGTCTCGCACTGAGCTATTCGGCTTTGGAGGAAGACATTGCAGACTCTTAGTAGCTGAAAGCGTACACCTTAAACTTTTTTGGGATAATCTGACCCCTTATAGAATTGAAAGTGTACACTTTTCGGTGCTTATGAACTCAGCAACTAAGGACTTGTGCATGTCGCAAACCCTGAACTGGAATTTCTGGAACTTGAGCCTATGCATCCACCTGTGTTGAACATCGAGTATATAGACAGCTTGAAGGTGTTTCTGTTGAATGGAGGCGTCCTCTACCGGAGGAGTAAGTGGCAGAAAGACGACACAGGCCCGTTCGGGGCAGGTGATCCCGAATGTGGGAGCACAAGTACCAATGTCGTCCCAGTATCTCGCACTTAGAAGCAGCTCCTCTGCCATAGTGGCATACTAGTTCCATACTGTGTCCTTAAACCCTAAACCGACCCTGAACCCTATACCCTAAACCCCAAACCCTGAAGCCTAAAACCTAAACCCTTAAACGGCTCATTGTCTTGAATCTTGAAGCTTTGGCATCTTCAGGCTCAAGCGAAGAGGCGCCCTTTTGGCAAGGCTACTCGAGAATCTCGCATGCTTTGTGTCTGCAGAAAGTTGTTTGCACCGTGACAGTTTGAGCGTAGGGTCGCGTGTAGCCCGACGAAACATACTTAAACACGGAGACCCTGAAGCCCTGAAAAAAGCAGTTGCACGTACAGAGTACATGGGTAGTTCTCTAAATTAGGATCCCTTGTAAGGTTCTTTTTATAAGGGTGCCGTACTATTTAGGGGGCCCCAAAGGGGCCCTTGTTTAGAGAATTACCCACACATTGACGCAAGGACTAGATTAAATTTCTGGTTGACAGCACCGCGTAGGACTTCTGCACCACTCAGTCTCGCTCAATGTACCAGCACAACCTGTCGCTCAAAGCTTTGCATGGCGTGCGTGAGGAGTTCAGCCCAGCTCTCAGAGCTTGTTGTGGAGAAGCAATGAGACAGCGTAGCATTGCTTGATTGAAGCACCTTGTCAGGGGTCAGTGCGCCGTGTTTACGCTTCGAATTTTGCAGTGTAAAATTTACACTGTGTCCACGGGCCACGCGTTTATGTGTTTGTGCTTGCTGCTTTGGACGCGCATGTTCGCCCATGCGCTGCAGTTGTGGTTTGGAAGTTCAGCTGCCAAACAGTGCGACCTTGCCTCACTCCCCCGTGCATCCGCGATGGCTAGCAAGCTTGCAGCGCTCAGCCGTGAGTTGAGTGGCCTCACCGAGGAGCAGATCGCCAGCCTCCTTCTGAGCACCATGGCCCCGCATCAGCACGAACGCCTTTTGGCTCGTGCGGCTCAGGCCAAGGAAGCTGAGTCCCGGCTGGACTCGGAGATTGCAGAGTCCCATGGGCGAGCCAAGGAAGCCAAGACTTTTGACGCAGTGTTCGTGATCGACTGCACTGCATCTATGGTGAAGCAGATTGCTCATGCCAAGGAGACAGTGGCATCCATCCAGAGGGATATCTGCCGCTTGTTGGGTGCAGGTGGAAGTGTACGTCTTGCCGTGGTGGGATTCAGAGATCACAACGACCAGGACCAACTCGAAGTTCTGCCCTTCACAAAAGATGTGCAAGAGGTAGAGAACTTCCTGACCCGGTTGTCCGCAAAGGGCGGGGGTGGTGATGCGTGCGAAGATGTCATCGGTGGAATTGAAGCATCGCTGAAGCTGTCCTGGATGGCACGAACCCGGGTCATGTACCTTTTGTGCGATTGTCCGTCACATGGGGCTCGCTTTTACGATGCGGCAGTCGCTAAGACGTACAAGAACTTTGACAATCATCCAGACGACCCGAGGCAGTGGCAGCCAACCGATGAGCTCCTGGCCAAGACTGTTGAGCTTCGCATCAACTTGGTGTGCCTCGAGTATTATTCACTTTGCTCGAAGATGTTAGGGATTTTCAAGAAGCTGCGTGAGCAACTAGCGACGACGGACCACACTTTGCAGACCATCGTCTACAAGTCCGACGACACTGCTGAGAACTTCGTGCGCTGCGTCCTCCGTAGCACTTCGAAATCTTTGCGGTCTTCGCTCGGAAACTCGTCGTCCCGAGTCGCACATGAACCTGAGGCGCATCTGCAGCTCGACGAGAACATGGACATTTCTTGGAGGGACTTCAAGCACTGGAAATGCCACCAGGTACTCGTGACCGCATTGACGGTTTCCGGTCTTCATGTTGCGCCGAAGCAGAACAGCACGGTTCAGAGGTTCTATGTCCGTGCGGAGCCGTTTGCTTCCGGCAACATGCGATGGGCTTTCCCTGCGGCCAATGAGGAGGGACTGCGCTTCGTTCTCAAGGTCGGTATGCCGAGCAACTGCACACTAGGCGATCGCGAATCATTTGACTAGGCAGCCTTCGTCACACTAAGTAGTTCACCACGTGCCAACTCACCTAGGCAGTTTCATCTTCTTCGACTGCCGAAGATTAAGGGAAGTCGCAAGGCAGTGTGGCAGAAAATTAATTGTCAAACCTCAAGCCTGCAAGGTGCAAAAGGCGGATCGCAAGAAGGCGAAGGAGCTTTGCTTCCAGGATGTGCAGACACAGGCAGGGCGTAGGGCCTATGTATGTTTTCGCCAGCAGTAGTACTTCAGTCGTTTTTGATCACAAGTGTCATTTTTTGACAGTTGTGACGCTGCCGGCATGCCGAAGGTTTTGTACAGTGAGGTTCCTCCCGGTCAAGTGGTTCCCTTGTTGCAAGCATGGGAGGCGTACGACTGATATTTGTATAAGAGTCCAGCAAAAAGTTCAGGCTCACTCCTCAACTAGTACTGGTGGCCGCCATTGCGCCGAGGAAGCATGCTAAACGATACCCTGGTTCCAGCTTCCCTTGACCAGGCTTACGCGAAAATCTTTGCCGTCGAGTTCTCGCGCCTAGTCCCGGAGGCTCCTTTGCAGTTCGTTGACTCATGGATGGTGCAGCTGCCCAAGTGGGAGGTTGCCGAGCATGCAACCGTTGAGCTCTTCATTGAAGGGAAGTACGAAAAATACACGAGCAACAACGGCTTCAGCTCGCCCGGAGCACTTCTTGCGGAGACATTCTCACACTTTACGTGGCAATATTCCGGTGGCAACATGCAGGTGACGGACTTGCAAGGGGTAAATTGCTCCGTCCTGACCGATCCACAAATCCATTGCGCAAAGGAGGACCTGTTCAGCCGTGGCAATTTGGGAAGCGTGGAATGGACGATTTTTTCCTAAGCCATTGCTGCAACGATTTGTGCCGGAAGCTGCGCTTGAAACAGTCCCCAATGCAGCCTGGCTTTGAATGCATTTCGGACCTGTGTCCTACTGGCGTTGGTGAAGATGCTTTGTCGGATGTTGAGTCCGTGATCTCAAGTTACAGTACAGCTTCCAGGCTCTTGTCATGCGAGCTTTGCATGGCCCAAGTCTGCGCCGGGACCAAGCATCAACTCGACACGCTTGAGAAGTACAATGCCGTTTGGTGCCAGGAGTGCCTTCGCAAGGCCGTGGAAGCCCTCGTGGAGACGAAGTGTTTGAGCTGCAAGAAGCCATTCTCGTATTCTTTCTACGCCATCAAGTTCAAAGGTTGCGTCGCGCCGGCCACTTGTGACGACTGTGAGCGTGGGGAGAACTGGATGTTGATCTGAGTACACAGCTCTACTGCGAAAAGTTTTTGCAAGCTTCCTCATTATGAGCATGAGCACTGACTGCAAAAGCCATGCCAGGGCTCAGTATTTAGTCTGTCCTTTGGAGAAGGACGCAGCACATTTTAGTTGATGCAGAATTATACATGCAGTCACCGTGTCCTGTGTCGAGCGGAACGACAGGTGCAGAGTTCCACATCGGCACACTGTTGACGCTGTGGCAGCATGGCAGAAAAATCGTTGTTCTTGTGCCGTGACGTGGTGTTCGCATTCACTGCATGAGTGTTGCTGAGCATGTTGCAGAAAAGGCCTTTATCAGTGAAAGAAACAGCAGACCCATCCAAGCTGCATGCATGCCAAGGCCTTCTGGCAACGGCGCGGGGCAGCCTCTTGGCACGGATAGTTTTGGCTTGCCCCTACTCTGATCAGGATGACACATACCTACTTTAGTAGCTGAGTGAGTACACTTTAAGCTTTGTGGGATGATATGATCCCTTATGGAACTGAAAATGTACACTTTCTCGTGCTTACGAACTCAACAGCCAAGCTACAGTATGTAGATGTTCGACCTGAAGCTTGACTGCACTTGCCAAAGGTTCAATAGGCAAATATGAATCATGCCAACCATAAAACCCTACTGGTCCATCTACCCAAATAGCATACACTTTTGCCCCAAAGTACCTATATAGGGACTACTTTAAGGCCAAAGTATATACTATGTGGGCACATGGACCCTTAGGGAAACCTTAACATGCATACTAGGAGTGCCTTCGGTTCATCCCGCGGTCCAGGACGTAGGGTGTAGAGCTCTGTGTTTGGCGGTTATAGTTTTTCTTCTTACGGCTTAGGATGCTTTCGGTTTTACGTGCGGTCTTCATTGTAGTGAATAGTTGGGGTTACCTTATGGGTTCCGAAATGCAAAACTGAAACAAACACGAGATTAAGATGGACACTACAGGTAGGCCTTACAGGGTTTAGGGATTCTCCTTGTGGTGTAGCTGTCCCAGAGCTTCTTTGCCATGTCACTCGTTGCCATGGTCTCATCTCGTGGGCCCATCCGCCGACTATACAATAGTATGCCTTTCTTTGGGCCTTATGATCTCTCAGCATAAATCAAACCATCATGCAGCTGTTGGGGCCTCTGCTTGAAGGATCTGGGGACTTAGTAAGTAGGATTTTGATGTACCTTCATCAGGGAAATTAGAGTTACCTTAAGATACGAATAATCCTACGTTACAGCGCCCCCTCATCTCAAAAGGAGGGTTTGGTCCTGGAACGTCGAGTTTTCAGCCTCCGCTCGAAACCACAACACTACTACAAAGCACCTCCGACCGAAAGCCTTGGCGAGGTTTTGTTCAACTAGCGCTCCCTGGACTTAGCTTTAAAGAAGGGGGGGCATGCTGACTGTTATTTCTCCGAGTTGTGTGCCGGTATTCCTGGGTGTCCCTAATGCTTGAGCCTTACAGCCTAAGTCTAATAAAACCTCGACCCCCAAGAACCCCTTCACCTGTCCGAGGCCCAGAAGCTGCGGCGCAGCTAAAAAAAGCAGCAGCGCCACTGCGCGAAAAAACCTGCATGAGTCGAATGACTGCATAAGCACATCGCTGGCATTCAGGGATGTACCGCACCAGTATTGGTTTTGTGCGCAGCAGTGAGCTTTAGCCGAAGAGTTTGCACGCCTGTTGTGTCATACATCAAGCTGTCGAACAACAGGTCTCCAAGTGCATTACCTAGAGTTTGCATTTTGGGCATCACCACGACCAAGAACTAACACGTTTTGACATGACTCGACCTGTAGAGACTGTCACGCCAGAATTAAAACGGAGAGCAGATGTTTTCAGCACCTGCCGGTCGAGAGCTGCAACTTAGACTGAGACTGTCAGGGGTAGAATATCCAAATAAAGCAATATTAATAGCATTAATATACACATTCACTAGCATCAGACGCACAAGCCCTCTATCATTTTCGTAGGTTTGTTTGCATTTCAGGATTTAGATTCTTGGAGTTTGTCTGTCCTTGGGCTTTTTTGGGGGTTTTGTCTGTTCGTCGGCAAGAGTCGGTCCTCATTCTGTCAGTTTTTGGTTTCAGTGCCTCGGCTGCAACGGACCCATGTCCACTTTGTTGCTGCTCCGAATGGGCATTTCAAGCTTGGCTGCACGTAGGTGCGTAGCATTGCCTAGAAGGACGGCGCAAGCACAGACACCTGAGGAAATCCCTGACCAAGCAATTTGGCGTGAGTCTACATAGCTTGGACATGATTCTGCCAAGCCTAAGGGGCCTTGGCTGCCTGTTGCGCATCGCTGGACGTTCACTCCTTCTACTTTCCAGATTCATTCAGCTGCTGCTGCCCTAACCCCCCAAGGTACCTACTATAATAAACTACTAGAGCCCCTAGGGCTCTATATAGTAGGTGCCTGGAGGGTTAGGGTTGTTGCTTCTGGCCGTAAGCCGTGCCATCAACCGTTGAAGGCCCAAACCCTACACTCCAACTCTAAGCCCCAAGCCCCAAACTTCGAACCCGTAAGCCGCCCCGGGTTCCGTCCTGCCATGGCGACGGAAAGGGCGCAGTCAAATCTGCCGATCACCAAAGCTGCTGCAGGTCGGTTCAGAGACTTTAGATTTTACATTTTGATTTGACTCGAGATGGGTTTAGAGCAGTTGTGCACCGCTTATTTCGTCATTGTTGCGAAGGGCTTTACATTTCGATCCCGCACTGCTCGAGGGCTTTCTTAAGGTATGTTGGGGCCTCTCTTGGAACCCAGACACTCCGAACCGTTTAAATGTAGAATACACACTGAAGGAGTAGTTAATTTAGGGGTTGTAGGCTGGAAGGGCTTGTGGATCGCAGCATACGCTGTAGATCTCAAGAAAACTTTGCACCTCGGAAATCCCAACATCAGCTGACCCTGGCAGAGACAATTCGAGCCGAGACCCAAGGATCCTAAAGCCCAAACGCTGAAGCCCCTAAACTCTGACCCAAAGGCTCCATGTACCTATATAGTAGCTACTTGGGCCTTAAAGGGGTCCCTATGGAGGTACTTTAAGGCCTAAGTATCTACTATGAAGGTACATGGAGCATTTGGGTGAACCCTCGCCTTCGCTGTATCCCTTGAAGAACTAGTACCCGTGCCTGCGGGGCGATGTTTGAGGTTCTACCTTACCAGGCCCGACCTCCGTCCCCCTTATTCCTGGACCCTTGCCCCTTATGAGGTCCTGTAGATCGGCTCTTGTACAGAGGCGGGCTGGTGGTGCTAGGCAGAACCCCGAACCCCAAGCTAACGCCTACTTAATTTCATGGATCAGCGGACTTAGCTTGTAAGTATGCAGTATGCTCAATCACTTACAGCCCCAAATTCTGCACTTGTAACTATAACCTTGCTTACTGAGGCCTTGACCCTCACCGAAAGCATTAGGGTTTATAGGGCTTCGGGCTTAAACTCGGGGTTTAGGGTTTAGGGTCCCCCTTTAAGGAGTTCCTCGTGCCAGGACGCGGGATGGTTTGATGACGACGCTCGCGGACCTCTCGGCCAACGTTTGGAAGGCCTGAGGGTTTCATAAGGGCTTGATTGCGATTCTGGTTTCGTAAGGTATAGAAACCTTAGAAGTTAGCGTAGGTGTTTGGGCTTTATCTTGTTCTTACCTCGGCAACCGCAGAACATTGAACTTTCGGCTTTGGATCTGTTTTGATCTGAGTAGCACTGCTTGAACTGTGCTGGGAGAGGAGTTTAGAAGAGAGCTTCTAAACCCTTAAACCCTAAAACCCCTAAACCCTAATTTAACCCTAAACCCTAAACCCTATAAGTTGGGGTTTGGTGGAGCGTAGGGTGCTTCCGAGCTCTGTGGCTTCAGGCGCTGCCATTCTTGAGGCTGGGGGCGCATGTAGGATCGTTATTTCGACGACAGAAACAGCGTTTAGTGGAGGATTTCGGGTGTACCAAGCCCAGCTTGGTGTTTTTGCTCTCTTGAAATTTATGAATCGGAATTCAGAGCCAGGCATGGTCTTGCGGCTTTCGGCTTTGAAACACTTGGCTTCGGCACGGTGGGCTTAAGTCAAGGAAGCCCAAATAATGGTCTGTAGACTATGCTGACACCAGCCCAGTATAATGCATGGCTTGAAGGCTGCGGAATATAGAAGCTTAGATTACCAATATTACGCTCTACGGAGCTCTATATCTCAAGACCCCAGCAAGTCAAAACGCTGAAGCCCGTTGACAGTTGCTGGCTTAGGGGGTAGTTCTCTAAATTAGGGTCCCTTGCAAGGTCCTGTTTATAAGGGTGCCGTACTATTTGGTAGACCAAAAAGGGGACCCTAACTAAGAGAGCTACCCAAGGGCTGACAGATGCTAGTGATGCTTGCATGTCTTTTTGATTATAGAGTTTGGTTGTAGAACTGGTGCTGCATTTCATGCCAGTACACTTACTCGGGATCGGAAACGGGAAGCCAACTCGGACAAGACAGCATCCAGTTGTCGAGACTCACCCTACACCGCCTAAACCCTAAGCCCTTCAACCCTGAACCCTAAACCCTTAAACCCTAAACCCTTAAACCCACCCTAAACCCTTAAACCCTTAAGCCCTAAACTCCCAAACTC